CTGTTATATGGTTGACAAACATTTAGCTGTTTGTTTTCGTTTGCTTTGTAAGGCTTGACTTTTGACAACTCCTATTTTAACTCTTTGATACGGCTTTCTCTGCTGACAAGAGCTTTTCTCTATTTGTCAAAAGCTAATTCCTATCAAAACCCACATCTTTTTTAGGTGATTATACCGTCATCCTTTTCTGAAAGTTTTTTTCCCTTATCCAAACTAGAAGTTTGCAGCTTTGACTCACAAACTTCCAAGCTCACACGTCTAACTCTCTGAACTTCCTACTCCACTTGACTTCACAAATACTTCCCACAGTTTCCAAACATGCCATTGTAAAGCTAAGTATCTCATAGACCTACTCTACTTGCCTTCCTATAAAATTTAATAATTTCCTGAACACTAAGTTAAGGTAAACCCCACTGACACAGCATCACCTCCTATTGGATCGGTCATATTTGATGAAGGAATCAGCTGGCGATAGTATCTATAGCCTTGGTTCAATTCTTGTCAGTTGCCAAGAACATTCAGCCATCCAGGTAGCCTTAAACCATCCCCTCACTTGCCTTTTTGCTATTTATATGATCATTCATTTTCTTCCTGCCTTACTGTCTTACACCATTCATTCTTTTCTCTTTCCATCTCTGAAAGGCCCATTCTACTAGCCCCTAAACCTGGTGCATCTTCAGCATATGCATCCACTGGCATCAACCCAACCATCGGGCCAATTACCTTCACTAGAAAGGCCTTTTTTCCTTCCCCTCTTTCTTCAATTTTGTTAACTCCATGGTCGAGCAATTTCAGCATGTAAATTTAATCTCATTCCACATCTGCAGTCCCAGCTCCTCAAATTCACCAGTGAGGGAGAGATCCTCTTTGTAATGGGCCCCTTGTCAAATGGTAGAAATAAGAATTGTTCAAGTACAGGAGCTTCTTTCCTGTGGTGGTCCTCTGATCTTTTCACTTGTTCAGCGCATCCAATCCCACCTCATACTGCTTTCTTTTGTACCTTTTGCCTTCCATAGTCCCATTGCTTTCCTAGTCAAAATCTCTTTCAGCCTCTTAAACATTCCCCCTGTCTCTCCACTTACTTCTTTACCTGCTCTTTTTCCTTTCTCTTTCAACTAACTGTTTACTTTTCAGTTTACTATTTACAAGAAATCACCTTTTCCGATGCCATTCATACTCTGTCAGCATAGAGCTCCTGGCAACAGAATTTCAGGTGTTCAGTAGCTGATCTACTTTTACAGCCATTGCTTTACTGTTCTTAACTGCTTCTGGCTACAGTATGATTCAGCTTGTATCTTTTTTATTTAATGGGTACCTGGCTGTAGTTCAAGATCAAAAAACCCTGCAGAACTCTAAACTTTTCACCTGCCTTCTGCTTTGTTCCCTCTTCTTCATGGACAATAGGAGCATCCTGTTTGACATGTAGGGTGCCAGCCTCCCTACAGGCTGTCTTTACATCCTCAGAGGCAAGCCAAATCTTTTTTCAGAGTCTTTCTGTGTCATGGTTTTAAAATACAAACTTTTCTTTCTAGCCACGTGATTAAAATTACTTGCTGCACTCTCAAGCCTCCTATTCCAGCTACTGATATACCTGTTTCTCTAGCCTGATGTAATGCCATTCAAAATGATGCTGAACTCAAAAGCCTGCTGCAAAAAGCATTCTCCTCAGCCCCTTTTTTGAGCATGCTGTCCATCTATACAAATCTCTAGTTCTCCATCCTTCTCTCTCACAAAGAAGTTAGGCCATGTTTCTTAGTTTTCATGGCCTTCATGGCTTGTTCCCAATCTTCACATCAGTTCTCTCAAGATCCTGGAGACCTCTCAGGGTCTGTCCTGGAGACACCAAAACCCACTTCACTTTCAAAGTTTGGGACGTATTTTCTCTCAACAACTCCATACGTTACATTTGACTTTTGAAGTATTGTTAAGACTCTCCATTGCCTTGATGTCTACAAATAACATGAGAAAAAACACCTCCAATTCCAGTCATCCTCTGAGACAACGTATGCTGTTGTCTCATTTGATATTTAGTAAGTTCTTTTTAGTCAGGATAGTGCTTCTATGCAGCATCTATCACAATACAGAGCTACTACCAGGGCTTTTAAAAATTCATAATACCGTATTGCATAAAGTCTTAAGCATCACTAAATATTTAGTTACAAAACCAGTAGCTACTATTGGCATCCTTTGATGTCTAATTAAATTTAAAGCTAAGAAATTTGGTGTTTATACAAAAGCTTCACACTTTTGAAAGTTATGGAACTGCTGATGACTGCATAAGTCACAGCCTGTTTGTCTTTTTCTTTTATTGATTGTAGAATTTTGAAATGCAAGACAGACATTTCTGTATTTAAATAGGCATGTGTTTACGGTGCTTAAGCTGTAATCTTATGATTAGCTTTTAAACAGGCCGTTCTCTCATAACAGGGCCAACCATTAAAGAGCCCGGGATAGGGCTGTTCTTAGGACAGAGAGTTTTAAGAAAGGTTTGTTAGACTTCTTGAAACATAAAAGATGTAGATTCATTTGCTTACTGGTACTTGTACAAGAACATATTTAAGCACAATTTCAAGCTTTTCAGTAATTGAAGAAATTGGAAATAAATCCCAACACACACAGAATATGTAAGACTGTTTATATTCCTATCAACACAGGTTCTATGAGATTTTCAGTTAGATCTACATCACATCAAATAATTTACCATCTAATGCTTTTCAGCTGAAAAGCCTCCACATCACTTTACAAATGCAGCATCCCTAAGAACTAACCACTCTGGAACCCCTGGATCAAACCCCTCTGATACCACACGATATTTAATAGCCACAAGCAACATTGAGATTTTAAAAGCCTTGGGCTTCTCAAGGCACAAGGAACTTGACCTGCACCACAAACTCAGCGCCCCAGAGAAGGTCAAACTGGTAAGGAGACATATACAGGACACAAACTGCCACTGAAAAAGTAACTTTTTAAAAAGCAAAGCCACACATGCCTATAATCAGTAACAGAGTTACTATATTTGTTGCAATGAAGGCTCAATACTTGCTGATGTTGTTCCCATACTCTTCAGTTGACCTTGAGTCTTGAACCTATGCCTGACTTAAAACACCATCAAAACCAAATTAAAACCAATATGATAAAGCCAACAACGTATTAATTTCATGCTATGAATTTCAAAGCATAGAAAAAAATAAATTGACATAATAAACTCTTACAACTCCAGATTAAAAAATAAGTCACCTGATGACAATTATAAGAGGGACAACTACGCTTTTCAAGGCAAAACTGCTGGCAGCAGGGATAGTTATTCATAAATAATGTTCTTGGTTAGAGGCTATTTATTGACTTTAGGACCACAGTAAAGCCATTAAAAAACAAGATCACAAAAAGAGCTTAAAATATTTTATGTTCTGCAGAGTTTAAGGGAAACAAACAGCCCATATGTTTGAAAATATTTTTAAGTAATATTCATGAGATTTTTTCCTCATGAAAGATGCCAGCCTGGAAGCTGAAGTCACCAATTTATACCCAGAACAGGTGCAGACTTCTGACACACTGCCTCTTTACCCACAAACAGAGCTTGATTCTGACCCAAAAAAACTAACACTAGCCACAGAAATCCTAAAGTCATTTCCGTGACCTTGCAGTCCCTCGTCCTCCTATTAAGATGATCACCATCAGCTGTGGTGATGACCTCAGGAACACATACACACTCTTTCTTTGAGAATATGAACAAGACCTGGCAAACTACTTCTACGTACAAGAACCACCACAGCCAAAACAGGATAAAATTTTACTTTTCTAAAGTACATTTACAGGACACGGACACGTTCAAAATGATCTTCACCTCTTACACAAAACCACCAGCTAGGAAATTTAAAGGAGCTCATAAGTACTTTCTCATATTTTTTCCTGGTAAAAAGAGGAGGCAGAGATAGGAAATCTGCCTCTCAAAGGAAGCAGATTTTAAATTATCTCTTCTGATTAGAACTCTATGTACTTCTTGAAAACATGGGAAGAGGAGATTCTAAGCCCTATCTGTATGCAGGGCAGAATTTGCTTATCTTTCTTGACTGTGGTTTCAGCACTGCTGTATTGCTTTATGTCATGGAACTTAACAAGAAAACTATTGGATATAAATCTCAGTCCGGTTGTAAAAGTCTTTAAAATACCAACCTGGATACTACATCAAACCAAGTTCTTCTATTATTGCCTTTGATCCCAAAGAAAATATATAAACATAATAAAATAATGTAAAAGTTATAGCCACCTCCTGAAGATCTGGCTCAAACTGCCACAGCTGCACTGATTCCAGGGGAGTGAGGACATTTTATATCAGCTGGGGACTTGGCCTGACAAAGGTGAAGGCACTCAGCAGCATGCCAAATCGAGTGCGTGTGCATTTAAGCTCATTTTACTTACCACTAAAGCCTTTGTGCTTTGAAATAGACCTTTGAAAAACAGTACAGTGCTGTAATTCTTGCAGAAACGCAGACAATTAATTTCTCATCTGGCTGAGAAAGCAATACAAAAGTAAGACCAAAACCTACATTCAGTTAAGTTTTGAGGAAGTTTCTGCTAGCTTTTGAGAGACCTTCATTAGTCAAAACACCATGACTATTTGTTTGGGAGACCTGAGGTAGGTTCTTAACAGCAGAAATGAGCTATAGCCCAGTCTGAAATAACTGTTAAATGTTCAACTTCTCAGGCCATAAGCTAAGATGCTTATTTCTGCACTATCATCTGATCCATGACCATAACTGGTCAAGTCTTCTTTACATGTCAAGAAAAGAGGAAGAGTCAACACAAGGAGAGAGTTATTTCAGATGACCCAGACGTACAACTTCAGTGTTTTGTTTTGTTGTTTTTGTTTGTTTTAAGTTGTGAGAGCAGTCAGTGCTAAAAGTTAATATCATAACGATTCGTGTGGAATTCAGCTCCCTGGAGCAGGCTCCAAAGTCCATGAGCAGCCTTCCAAAAGCCACCGCGTCGGCTTTACTTACCCCTAGCCATCTTGCTCCTTTGTTGGCAGCCTGCTGAATCTGCACTCTTTTCAGGGTGACATGGTAAATAGCTCCCTCTTCTACCTCTTCACCTCCATCCTGAATGGTGCTCTGCCAGGAAAAGGGGAAAGAAAAAAGGTAAGAGAGAGGGGAACGTTTTTTCCCTCTGCAAACCACAATCTAGACCAGGTGTTGCTCATGCAGGGCTGAGGGCAGAAGATGGGCTATGCAAAGTAAATACAACAATCAGAGCAATACAGGATACTTTTAGATTGAGGGAACACTGGAGATATTCTTGGCAAGTTGTCCCTTCCTGTGGTATCAAGATACCCTGACTTTCCATTTAACTATTTTTCCTAGACTAGCACATATTTTAAATAGTTGTATAAAGTCTTTTCTAAGGAAATAGTTTGGTTTTGATTAGCAGTCTTCTCTTCCCTCTCCCTCCTCCCTTTTCTAAAGTAATTAATCTCTTTGGCCTTTCATTTATGGAAGGAATTGCACTTTTTAAAACTGTTGAATTACTTAGGCAGACAGCCTTTAAACTTTGAAACTAACAAGCATTTAAAATACAGCAACCCTTTATTTCTTTTGACAGGAGGGATCTAAAGCGCTCGTGGTTTGCCTTTCCAAAACCTATTATTTCAAGCTACAAAAAAAAAAACAACTTTACAGAATCGAGGCTTTAAAACTCACAAATAATAGAAAGCGGGGGAAAAAAAAAAAAAAAAAAAAGCGCAACGTCTTCCAAACTTTAAGCGAACATGTGCTGCGATGACTCCTCATTTCGCAGATTATTAACAGTACAAAAGAGCGCAAGCCGCTGCGAGGCGGACAGAAAACATGCATCTGAATGTCTCCGAAGGGACTCGTCTAACTTCCCTCTCCGGAGCGGACACACACACAGTTACTCGCAGAGATAAGCATCACTCGGAAGGGAGGAAGAGCGGAGAGGCTCCGGGAAGCAGCGCTGGGCGCTCCCGGCCGCCCCGCGGACACCGGCACCCCCGCGGGCAGGGGAAGAGGGGAGGGGGGGGAAGGAGGGGGAACGGGACACCCGGTTACCATTTTAGCTTTCCACAGCAATTTCATTCTTGATGCCTTCCCGGGCGCCTCGACGGGCCACGCCGCCGCCGCCGCCGCTCCGCCCTGTCAGCGGCCGCCGCCGCCG